TTGACCTCTCAGAGTCGCCAGAAGAGTTATGCTGATAGGCGACGATCTGAGCTCGAATTTCAGGTCGGTGATTTGGTGCTTCTGAAGGTATTTCCTTGGAAAGGAGTGATCCGATTCAGGAAGAGGGGCAAGCTGGGACCCCGGTATATTGGGTCGTTTAAAGTGATCGCGAGGGTGGGTAGGGTAGCTTATCACTTAGAGCTACCTGCAGAGTTGGGTCAGATTCATGACACTTTCCACGTGTCGCAGCTGTGGAAGTGTATAGCAGATGAGTCGGCAGTGGTGCCCTAGGAGGATGTTCAGGTGGATGCGAGCCTGAATTATGCTGAGAGACCGGTGGTGATCAGCGATCGGAAGATCAAGGTTTTGAGGAACAAGGAAGTGCCTCTGGTTTTGGTTCAGTGGCAGCATCGGAAGGGGTCCGAGATGACTTGGGAGTCAGAGTCGGAGATGCGGGGGCAACATCCAGAGTTGTTCGAGGAATGAGACTTCGGGGGCGAAGTCTGGTTCGAGTGGGGGAAAATTGTAACACCCCGAGACTCAGGTATTATTCTTTCATCCTTGTTCTTTGTGTTTGGCCATGTTTGGCCCTTGAGTGGATTTTTGTTGAGCAAGTGAGTACGCTGGGCGTACCATAGGGGTACGCTGCGCGTACTCAAGCGCTTAAAAATAACACGTCTTCGCCAAGGTACGCTGGGCGTACCAAGGGTTACGCCGGGCGTACCCGACCCAGGTGCAAAACCCTAATTTTTGTGTTGTGCACTATTTAAGGGATGCTAAGGCTCATTTCTCAGCCTCCATATCAGTGAGTAAAACCCTAAGAGAGAGCCTTCCATCGTCCTTAGTGAGTGTGTGTGTTCTTGGAGCTAATAGTGCCTTGGTGTGTTAGTGAAGAAGGAAGAAAAGAGCTTGTGGAGACTAAAAGCTTGAAGTGCAAGTTTGGATCTGAGATCTACAAAGAAAGGAGCTGCATTTAGAGGTATAAAGTTCAAAACTTTCCTCTTCATTTTGGTTTAATGTTGCATGTGCCATTTCTAGGGTTAAAAACCCTAAAGGTGGAGACTTTATGAGTGTAAGGTGCTCCATAGTCCGAGATCTATCCCTTTTCAGTGGTATTTGAGGTCTAGATCCATAAAGTTCCCATCTTGGTCGTTGATAGGAGGTCATGCTTGAGTTCTATGCTTTCTAGGGTTAAAGAATGAAATGTTTTGGGTGCTAGTGACTTATTCAGCCATGCAAAGGCTTAAAGTCATCGACTTTATGGTTTAAGAGGATTAGAAATGGTCAGATCTAAAAGTTGGACGTGGGTCTTAACCGTTTAAGACCTAAAAGAGTGAAGGTGTTGAAGCTGGGAGTACGTCGGGCGTAATCCAGTACGCGTCACGTACTGGGTAGCGTCCCCGATTCTGAGAGGCAGCCGGGTACGCCCAGCGTACACATCTGGTACGCACAGCGTAACCCAGAAAGTTGACTTTTAGGGTATGGTCTATTGTGGGGCCTTTGAGATATGAGAGGGGTAAAATGGTCTTTTACCCTTCTGAGAGTATCATAAGAGGACATAGTCTAGCCTTTGAGAGTTATAATAATTAGGGTATTTATTTTGATTAGGCGGAGGTTAGACCAGCGTTACCGAGATACCCGAGGTGAGTCTTCTCACTATACTTTACCTAGTGTGGTAACAGAATTATGTGATAGAGTATTTTAGAGTTATATGCCAGTGTAATTGCATGTTACTATGTGCTATGATTTATTGTGATATGTGTTATGTATGATTCATAATTACAGAGTTAGGACTTTCGGGTCCACAGAGTTAGGGCCAGAGGGCCTATAGAGAGTTGGGGCTGGAGGGCCCCACTGAGACACATAGACCTGAGGGTCAACAGAGTTACAGCCTCGAGTGGCTATTATGTGTTAGAGTGGTATTTTGGGGAACTCACTAAGCATTTATGCTTATAGTGTTATGTGTTATGTGTTTCATGTACCAGTGATGATCGCGGGAAGGCGCCGACATGATTCGTACACACGTACACTGGAGTTTATATATATATATATTTTGATCTTGGGTTTTGTACTGATACGATGTTGATGCAATGTTTTATTTATGATTACAAATGATATTTTATGGGTTATAAAAGTGAAAAATTGTTCAAATTTTTACGGCGTTACAAAAACGGCCAACAGTAGGAGGCCTTACATCAACCAAAATGGGAAAATTTTGACAGAATTACAACCTAACCAAGACCTAACAGACCTATGATTTACAAAGATAGGGAATTAGACCAGAGTTTTACATAACTAGGTTATATCCAAAAGAGAGAAGTTGATGAGAATCTATCGGCGATGTGAGCTACCAGAGTGAGTTCTTGATCCCGACAGGAGACGTTCTATGTCCCTCATGCGCATATCATCTCTTTCTTGTTGAGCTCGAAGTTCTCTAACTTCAGCTCGAGTTTCAACGAGTTCCCTCCGAAGAGCTGCATTGTGAACTAGAGCCCTTTCAGGAGCAGACTCTAGTTGGCGAATGCGGACAATGTTAACGCCAGAATTGGCGTCAATCTCCAAGACTCGATTAATAGTTGATTGACCCAGTATCGTGTTCCGAGAAATCCTACGAACCATGACGGGTAGTACCGTGTCAGCAAAACCTCCCTCAGTGAGGTTGTGGAAACTTCTATCTCCATTGTAGTGAATGGGTTGACCCTGTTCCTAACTCCATGTATTCAAGTTTGTTGCCAATAGAGGTGTGGGTACTTGAAATGCGGGTCGGGGGTTTTTATTCGGGGCTTGACCTACTTAAGCTAGGTTGTTGACTTCGGGCTTGGAGTTAGATCCATCCGAGAAGCCTTCTGCTTGATGATCATCCAAAGGACTTTGATGCTCATCATCGGACTCTGCTTCAAGCCATCCAACATTGCCGTTGGGTGGAAAGTATGGGTCGTCATGATGATGGAATCCAACCATGATATTTATGCGAGAAAAAGGGTAAGGAAATAATTAATAGACAAGTTAACTAGATAATTATAAGGTGATCTTTATCAGTTACTCCAATACTTGTCTAGGGCATACCAATAAAGACCTTTAGTTCTCAGATAAGTAATTATACTAACACAAAATACTCCTATAGTATTTTAAGTTTAATGTTATGTTCTACTGTTCTTATTGTGGTAGTATTGTTAAGTTTTTAGACTTGTTGCAACCTCACAACCATCCTTAGGCATATGCTAGTCACTTCTCGGATAATGTAGTTGATCAGGCTACATCTTCCCAGGGTTGACCATATGTCTCTAAGTCTACTTGTGTTGTCCAACAATCGTAATACTTTTTTTCTATCCTAGTGACACTGATTTTAGTATGAATGCAGGTATGTATACTTAGTTAAATATTTTATTATTTAAAGTATAAAATCTTAATCGGAGTATTTTAATCCCGCTTGTTTTTATAGTTCGTATATCTTTTATGGGTTGATAGACTCAATTCACTATAAACAATGCTCTGATACCAATCTGTCACACCCCAAAACCTGAACGGCGGAATCATTCGGGGTCGGATGAAGTCATCTATAATATCACAACAATGCAAAGTAGTAAACAAGCAACAACATCATCCATTGCATTAATAATATAATTTCATACAAGTGTGTTATGTCAAGTTAAATAGACACCAAAAAGTACATCAAAATAAAAGAGGAGTCTTGAACAAGCTCCATCTTCTCAAAAACCTGGCACCAGTACCTGTCTACTGGTGACCTGAGAATACAAGTTATTTTGAAAGCGAGTATCAACTTTAAAGCTGGTGAGATCATAAGTATATTAGTGTATGAGTTTGTATGAAAGCATTTGTAAGATGTTTGTAAGATGTAATGTATAAGTTTTGTAAAGTTTGTATTTGTTTGAACTATCCTAGAAAAACCTATGTTTCCTACTAAGAGTAGCCTTCTACCAAGGCATCTAGTAACTGTGTGTGTCTCTTATAAGAGTGTGTATTTTCCCAAATCCGACTATCATTAACCAAAAATATAGTTTTTACATTACCGTGCATCGTGTGAATGTTCACGAAGTGAATGTAATGGGAAAAATATCATTCGGGGCGATCCTTGAATAAAATATGGATAGATGTGGAAGGTAGTATGGGCCCGTACTACTGGAAGAAGAGGATCTATACTCAAGTTAAAAAAAGCCACGATGAAACTATGAAGCTTGTAGAGTATTTGATCCCTCAATGTTTATATATATGTATGTCCTGATGGTTTGTGTGGTCTATATTCAGTATGGTGGCCACATGAGGAGGTTATGGCAGTGGTTCTAGTTCGGCTTCTAGGGCTGGACAGTTAGATGAGCAGATGCAGGAGTTCATTTCGTTTGAGATTACTTGCAGCATACTCGAGCAGACTTTTGTGATCTTTGGTACAATCAAGGAGGGTATCATGGAGGTTATGGAGGAGCGCTTGGTCTCTTTCCGTTATGAGATGGTAGCATTGATAGGAGCTCGCATGTTGACCTTTCGTGAGTTCTGGGTATGTGGGGCTATGGAGTTCTTCGGGGAAAAGGATCTAATCGTGTGTTCACGTCGGTTAGCGGATGTCGCTAATACATTACGCACTAGCAGTTGTCCCGACTGGGCAAAGGTCAAAACCAACACAACCGGCTAAATGGCAAAAATGAAAAAAAGTTTGGAAATGTTGGACTTTAACGCACCTAAATTCGCTGGAGGGACAAAACCAACAAAAATTGCAAAACTTAAGGACTTTTATGTCAAAAGGCCTATATATATATATATATATATATATATATATATATATATATATATATATATATTAGAGAGAGAGAGAGAGAGAGAGAGAGAGAGAGAGAGAGAGAGAAGCTTATAAGGCTCGTTTAGGCTCGCAAGCCCACTAAATTGTTCACGAGCCAAGCTCGAGCTTCATTTTAAGGCTCAAATCGAGCTCGAGAGCTCAGCTTGGATCGTTTACACCCCTAGATACGACGACGAGGGAATAATTGATGGGTCGATGGGTCTTGAGAAGGAGGTATGCGGCGTTTGTTTTTTTGGAGTGGGGGGATCTGTTTTCTTTTTAGGTTTAGGTTTGAAGATGTGAGAATAGGTAAAATAAGTGCTTCCCTAAACAACACACAAGCAGAAGTTTTCAGCTCTGAAAACTTCCGAAAAAAAACAAACTGTTGCGAGATAAAAAAAAGTTATGCATGCTCTGAAAACTTCCAAAAAACAAACAAACTGTTGCGAGATAAAAAAAAGTTATGCGTGCCGCAAAAAACAATAAATGTTCTGAACAAGTTTTTTATATAAAAATCGAACACACCTTGTAATGGGGAGTACTTATTGCTTTATTGCTTTATGTTAAAGTCCTCTTCACATAGAGAGTCCTTGTAAACCATTGTTGAATACACATGAAATTCACACAACATCAACGTCTCTTTAATGATTTTCAAAAACAAACCGAACGGTACGGTTTTGTTAAACTGGACCGGACAAATCGATTCGATTAAAAGATTCCACTTTCGGCTTCATCAGTGATATTGGTGGGGAAAGGTTCACTCACTATATCACTCACCTCTACGATCCCCATACTATTCATCCTCAAAGTTGAATTTTGTTTCTGTGATTGCTTTGGGGATTTCACTTATGGAAAATCCTAATACTGTTGTTGGTGATGACGGCGGCAGTGACCGGCCGACGATCATGGTGACAAACGATGATGGAATTGACGCACCGGGTCTGCAGGCCCTAGTTCGTGTCCTCGTCTCCACCAATCGATACCGTGTGTGGGTCTGCGCCCCCGATTCGTACGTTCTTCCTCCCCCCTTTTTTACTAACGCGTTATTGCCATATTTATCAGCAATTTGGTCCTGAATGTTTTTTTTCATTTAAGACATTCACAAATCGCAACACATGAACATACAAAGGATACAAGATTCAAAGTAAATTAGTCTGTACTTAACATCACTTTAATCCGCACTATTGCCTGAAAAAAGTTCTATGCAAGTGATTTATCATATTTACAGGGAAAAGTCAGCTGTCAGTCATTCTATTACTTGGCGTCATCCTCTCTCCGCAAAACGAATCGACATTAATGGAGCCACAGCCTTTGCTGTTTCTGGTCAGTATCATGATGAATTCAACAGTTGAACGATCTTAATCATATCCGTAAATCTCCTTATTCATATATTGATAGAGACTTCGTATAACTTTTGTCATTAGGGTTTATCATCTTCTTGGTTTATGCCCACTTTTTACTCGTTATATTCACATATCTAGTTGAATAATCACACCTTCTTGACTGAATACATACAGACTAACACTTATATTTTCGTAATAATACTTTGCAGGAACTCCAGCTGACTGTACTTCATTGGGAATCTCAAAGGCACTATTTTCTTCCGAGCCTGATCTGGTAGATTTTTAAGCTTCACCATAAGTTATAATTTGATGGGTTTCATATCATTCGACAAAAAAAATTATAAACTATGTAGTCGGGTGCATCAATTTTCATTTATGATCTATATATATGACAAAAAACCTTCTGATTTGTTCTAGTTACTCTTTACAGGTATTAAGTGGCATAAATATGGGCAGCAACTGTGGTTATCACATGTTAGTATCATTTTTTCTTGTTACTCTTAGATTCCCTTGTTTTTATTTCTGATATTTTGTATTTTTGTTTAGGGTTAAATGCTAACCAGAGTTTCTTGAAACACAGTGTCTACTCAGGGACAGTTGCAGGTGCTAGGGAGGCTTTTTTCAATGGTTTACCATCTGTTTCAATATCATATGATTGGTATGTGTAAACTTGTTCACTACATTACATGAGGTTAATTAGGTCATTTTGATTCTAATATCTATCACAAATCTCATTGGGTGACAGGGTTGGGGGTACAAGCAGCATCAATGACTTCACACTTGCTGCTGAAGCTTGCTTACCTTTAATAAGTTCCATTCTTGTTGAAATCAAGAATAAAACATTTCCTCAAAAATGTTTCTTGAATGTAGATTTGCCAACAAATGTTCTCAACAATAAGGTGAGTGAGTTTCGATTTCATAAAGAAGTTGGACTATTTATATTTTTTCTTGTTTGTAATTGTATGTTTATTTATTTATTAGGGTTATAAGCTGACTAAGCAAGGAAAAAGTATTGTTAAAATGGGTTGGAAGCAAGTTTCTAGTGATGCACAAGGTGCACAGATGCTATCAACAATGACAATGGAGTCAAATTCAGTAGCATCAAATCCTGAGGATAATTCTGTTTCACAAGAACAGCTTTTATTCAAGAGAGAGGTGTGTGAGCTTTTATTCAGTTTGTTTTTTTTGATGACTAAATTTTTTTTAATGTTCTTTCATATAATGAGAGTTATACATCCTTTCAGGTGAGGGGAGGCCATGTGGAAGAGGGTGAAACCGACTATTGTTACCTTAAACAAGGATATGTGAATACCTTTCTCTTACTTTTTTTTTTTAAGTGATTTTTCAAGTGCTTCTATTGTTTTATTAATTAATTAATAAATATCACAATTGTGTTATATTTTCAGATAACTGTCACTACCCTTGGGGCCTTGAGTCATGCGGATAACGACTCCCATACATTTTTCAAAGAATGGTTACCAATGGTGGCTGACCGTACCTCTCCTTCAGCTTTGTGATTAATTTATGCAAACTCTCTGCGTGCTAAATGCAGTACAACCTGATCTGTCTTGTACTGTCTTTTCATGTCAAGAAAATCAAAGTTCTATGCATTGAAAATTTAAATTGTTCTATCTTTATATCGAACAAGTTCGATCCGATTATCTTTGTCAATGTGGTGGTAATCGAATTTTAGATTGCAAGAGTTGGAAGATTTTAATCACTTGTGTTTCTTGGATTAAGAAAAGGGTTGGAACATTTCTCAATTTATGCAACAAAATGGTCTTAAAAACCACGTGTAATTTCATAATCAAAAGATGCAATATTTAACAGTCCGTTATATATACATTTGTAAAAAGTGAGACATTGCTAGTAAAAAGTGATATTTTGCATTAAATGTTGCGTAAACAAAAATTGTAAATGTCCATTGTGATTGATATGAAACTAGTTGTAACACCCTAAAAGATAACTTTCAATAGTAATCTATTACGAGAGTAATGCGTAAGATTAAGTCATAAATATTATAGTTGTAAATGTCCAGGAAGAAATGCACTGTGGCTTATAGAATTGTAAATGGACAATTTGAGGGGCATTGGAAATCGCAAGTGGAAAACGAAGGAGACGTCAACAATGTGAATAACCTAATAAGAGATCTATCGGAGGTGCGCTTGGCACAAGGTGAAGATCAATGGAAATATGTTGTCGATATTACCAGCCCCTTCACGGTAGGTACACTAAGGAAGAAACTCGATCAACTCTTATACCCAAATCGTGTACTTACATGGTTTAGATGGAACAAAGTGTCCCCAAGCAAAGTAAATTGTTTTATTTGGAGAGCAATACAGAAGAAGATCCCATCAGTGGTGACTTTGAGAAATAGGGGCGTCGATATTGAACATGATAATTGTGGGGCTTGTATTAACGAAATTGAATGTTCAGATGATATTCTCATATCGTGCCATTTCGCCTGCGAGGTTAGGAAACAAGTTTTCAAATGGTGTGGCATACAACAGAACTTTGCATCTGTAACTGATTTACTTAGTTTCGCAGCAAACTGGGGCAGATGTCCTAAGAAACAGAAGATATTCATCTCCATTTGTCATGGACTAATTTGGAATTTATGGAAAAATCGGAACAACCGGATGTTCAATAAGGTATTCATAAATCCAACATTGAGTTCAGGGACAGTCAAGTCTTTGGTGTTCTTTTGGTTGAAGTGCAGGGGTAAGGGTGGAATTTGCAGCCAGAATGAATGAGTTTCTTCTCCTTTTATGTTTAATTCCTCTGTACCTCAAATCATATAATTGTTTTACTTTCTTGTTATTCTTGTTTTGTACTTTTGGACCCTCGCTAGTTACTTGCTAGTTCGGGGGTTCTTTTTTAATACAATTTGTCGTTTCCAAAAAAAAACATCATTATCCATCAAAGAAATCCTCAATAGATACTTTCCAAAAATGAAAAATACCACTAGAGGCTCCCTTGCTACTTACTAGAAAAATGCATATGTATGTATAATTAACCAAAATTTGGGGCTCCCTTGCTACTTACTAGAAAAATGCATATGTATGTATAATTAACCAAAATTTGGGCTTAAAGTCTATTTGAGCACAAATTATATCATTGTTGTTATTCGAAAGATTGTCTAGGATGATTTTTGTGCCCCATAGCAACATATTAAGACATGGTAAATAAAGTTGATATATTTTCACACTATTGTGGAAGCCGCAAAAACATTTAGAAATGCCGCAACATGTTTTTAACTCAATAAATTCTCATGTAGAAAAGTAAGAAAAGTATTAGGATAATGGCACATCCACAATGCAATCCATTCAACTTTCATTTGCGAATTCAATCAACTGTCACACCAACAAAATAAAAATGTGGGCCCTCGATTTTTCCTATTCAAAAGCTTCAAATTCATTACCAACTTTAGATCTAACTATAATTGAGTTTAATTATTGTATGTCCTTGGAGTCACCGAGAATTCCCCACATTACCCATAATTAAAGTCAAATTTTATTTAGAGATTGCCTATTTTGAAGATTATTATTATTATTATTATTATTTAAAGCAAAAGTTTCTTAATTGTCTAGGGATTGATTTCGATATTTTCCATAAGTTTTGAAGAAAATGAATGGAAGTCGAAATGCTAACCAGGAATGTTCATATGGCTATCACAACCATCGATGATGGACATGTGTATGTGTTTAAATAAGTGACACGGAGTACGATCACAATAAAAATCATATTCTCAATATCAAGAAGGGATAATGACTTGAGAGGGTAACATACTATTCCATTTTGTCACATTTGGTCACTAAACTTTTTTTTTTGCTCTAATAGCCATTTAACTTGTTCATTCGTGTAAATTTCACCCCTACGACTGCTTTTTGCCGGTTTCAATGGATTGGTCCATCCTACGTGCCAGTAAGATCCTACGTGGCATGTAGGGCTAATGTTATTAAAAGAGGGGTGTATGCGGTTCCTTGATTGTGCCCTAATACCCCCGATGGCTTCCTCCTACAACTTCTCATCATCCCTCAATCGATCAAGCAAGAAATCAACTGCGCACGATACAAAAACTTGTGATTGTGGGTTCCCTGCACGTATTCTAACATCAAAAACACCAAAGAATCCAGGGAGGCATTTCATGGTGTGTAATGAGGTAAACTATTTCACTTGAATCTTCTCCCTTTTCTGATTCTTTTTTCCTAATTTGAAATCTCATTATGAGTTATTTGTGTTGAAGGGTAAATGCAAATATTGGAAATGGTTGGATGTAGAACCTGTAGAAATGCCTCTAATGGAAGTGGTGGATGGAATGAAAGTTGAATTAGTAGCATTAAAGACCGAAGTAGAGAAGGTGAAGGAAGACATGGAACAAATGAAGAAGGAAAAGTACTCTGATTCCATTGCAATGAAGGAAAAAATATATAAGTTTACCATAGGATTTCTTTTTTTGATCATCGTGTATATGATGAAATGATGTGAATGATGTATTGAAAGATGTTGTTTGAATGGAATGAATGTATTATCTTAACTTCTTGTTGGAATGGAATGAAGTAATTTTGATTGGAATGGAATCATAAAGTAGTAATTTTGACTAGAATGGAATCACAAAGTAGTAATTTTGACTGGAATGGAATCACAAAGTAGTAATTTTGACTGGAATGGAATCACAAAGTAGTAATTTTGACTGGAATGAAGGCATATATGTATAATTAATAGCATTACACATCAAAGACTTCTTTCTAACTCCAGTCAAAAGCTTAGCTAATTCGAGTCAACATCTTAGCTAATATGACCATAATCTTTCATAATGCTCAATTAGACTTCCTTCAATTAATAACATTACACATCAAGATGTTTAAATAACTTATAACAGACTAGAAAATAGGAATTGACGAAACTACCCTTGGTAGTCAAAATTGGTTAACTGTCATATTTCAGTTAATAACATTACACATCAAGATGTTTAAATAACTTGTAACAGATTAGAAAATAGGAATTGACGAAACTACCCTTGGTAGTCAAAACTGGTTAACTGTCATATTTCAGTTAATAACATTACACATCAAGATGTTTAAATAACTTGTAACAGATTAGAAAATAGGAATTGACGAAACTACCCTTGGTAGTCAAAACTGATTAACTGTCATATTATCTAACAATATAGGATTCCATTCTTTGACTGTAATGGAATCATTGAGACAACAATGCATAGAAATAATAAGAAACTAATTGAATACGGTGGTTGAATTCATTGCAAATACTCCATCAATATTCTAAATTAAATAAAGGGTGAATAGTTGTCTGCATATACAAAAGATAGGACAAAAGATTCCTTCTAGGGACCACAAAAGAAGGGCCACCATGTGCCCACAAACCCAAAAGAAAAGCATAAATAACACATAGTATTGTCTTTACATCACAACTTGATAACAAAAGATGTGCCCACCCACTACCTACACACCTACTTAATTAAGGACTGCAGGGTTCTCTGCACTGCTCCCAACCCCAGGTATGTTCCTCCTCAATGCCATTTTGACAATCCTTTCAGAATATTTCCTCCGTCCAGTTCTACCAATTGGGGCCCTTCTTGGGATAGGCCTTGCAGCTGGTGGTGGTGGTGGAGGTGGAGGTGGAGGTGGTTGGGCTGCTACTGGTGGTGGTGGTGGAGGTGGTTGGGCTGCTGGTGGTGGTTGACTTGGTCCTGCTCCACTATCCCTGGATGAACTTGGTGCTGCAAAAAATTAAAGTCTTAAGATTACATATCAAAATGATGTATTATGTTCAGATAATTGGGACATTTACCTGATGTATTTGTTTGCTGCTTAGATGGACACTTTTTCTTGTTATGACTTGGTTCCTTGCAAATACTACACTTTATCAGGGATCCCCTTCTTGTCACAGAATGTCTAACTGGTCCACTCAACTCCCTTTCCACTGCATCCCTCTTCCTTTTCACTGATGGCCTACCAGGTAATCTTCTTCTTTTGGGAGGCAAAGGCTTTCGATAAGGAACTTCTTCCCACATATCACTACCATTGAGAGGGTTAATGCTATAATTATAGCATTTTAGATAAGCCTCTTTACTGTATGATTGGGACACATATGTTTCTGCATCTTGATTCAGGGAAGAGATTGCAGCTACTCCATGTAAGCATGGTATCCCTGTAAGTTTCCATATTCTGCATGCACAAGTCTTTGCAATTAGATCCACTCCATATGCTGCATCATGGAACCTAACTTCATAATTTTGATAACCACAAGGAGTAACCCCCCACAATCTGTATAAGGCAATAATGACTACAAATTAATAACTAATAACACAAACTAATACTTGGATAGATGAATTGTAAAACTACATGTTACCTCTGTTTAACCTTCAAATCTTGTATACGCTTCCTAATACTTGGACAGATATTCAAATTTCCATTCAATTCCTTCTACTCTAAGACTGTATATCTTCTCCATCACAAATATCCTAATCTCCTCTAGCATAGTGATGATTGGTTTCCTTCTAGCATGCCTAATAGCAGAATTGAAACTCTCACTCACCCCATTCTCAACTACATCACAATCTCTGCCCTCTTTAAAAAATGCCTTAGACCAGGTACTAGGATCTCTGTCCATAAGGTACTCATATGCTTGAGTATCTAAAGATTTGATCTTTTCCATTACATGTTTGAACTTCTGTTTAGTACTAGCTCTAACAGCCCTCCAAAAAAGCTTCCTGAAATGTTGACCGGTAAACCTTTTAGCAAAATTAGCCACAATGTGCCTGGCACATTGTCTATGTTCAGCTTCTGGACACCTTTCTTTTACTGCTTCTAGCAACCCCTACAAATAACAACAACAAAATTAGTGAAACATGCATAAAAACATATGTATAAATATGAACCAATGCTCACCTTGTGTCCATCAGAAAGAAGGGTAATGCCTGCACCAAGACCACCATCAATATCATCCATGAGAAGATCTATGAACCACTTCCATGTGGCCTTGTTCTCAACTCCAACTACAGCCCATGCTATAGGGTAGATTTGGTTGTTTGCATCCCTCCCTACAGCTGCCAAAACTTCTCCCCTCACAATACCCTTTAGAAAGCAACCATCAAGGCCAATCACAGGCCTGCACCCTTCCTTCCAACCATCACTTATAGCTTTAAAGCAGACATAGTACTTAGAAAAAAAAGTTGTGGAATCTGGCATGATGTCTACATCCATCCTCACAGTAGACCCAGGGTTTGTCCTCAGAATTTCATGACCATATGACCATAATATCCCATAATGTTCAATTAGACTTCCTTCAATTTCTTGTAATGCAAATTTCTTTGCATTTCTGCATTGCCCTTCACTCACATTTATATTGAATGTTGTTGAAACTTTAGCTTGCATCTTCCTAACACTGATTTTTGGCTTCTCTATAATTTCACTCATAAACTATTTTCCTAACCACTTATAAGTTACTATAGACCCAAACTTAAACACCCTGCTACAATTATGTTCACTAACTAAAGATTTTATCTGAAAAGTCCTCTCTTTACTCATCCAAGAGGCCCAAAGTCTAAATGGACAATTAGGTGACTTGTTTTTTTTTGCAACACTTAACTAACAACCTTTGGGAGTCATTTTTTCCAAACCAGAGATCATATCCACCAGAGACTGCATAGTTGCTCAACATGTTTTTAAGCTCATCAGGGTTAGAAAATCGCATACCTAACACTGGTTTCATCTGATTCCATGGTTGTCTATCATCATGTACAGGGTATCGAGGTTCAACATATTCAACATCTTCATCTAATGTGTCTACACAAAGTTTGTTTAAGAACCTGTCACCCTTGGTTTTGTTGGCTGGGAATGGATATTCAACATCATCTTCTTCATGGTCAACAGAATACGTCTCCGAGAATACTGAGTCTTCATCCTCTTCACAGCTGTAGTCTTGATCTTCATTTTCCTCATCCTCAATCCATTCGAAGATTGGTTCATTACAGTGGTCCACATACACATTCATTCTCCTCTCATTTGCATAAGCCAAATCCAAAAATTCTTTGTAATCACCGTCATTCACCAGTGTATGAATTCCCTGACTTAAAGACTCTTGTGGAAGGAAAAAGTAAATGTCTTTACTTCTAGTTCTGGTGAGCTTTTGAAGGAATTCCATGAACTCCTCGTACTCAAATGCACTGAAGTCAACATCTCCTACTGATTGTTTGTCGGGATCAAAGTATACTAATGGGTTGGGTGCAAACGCTCCATTATTGTGGAAATCCACTACAACGAAGTTTCGATCAATGGGACATTGAGATGAAGCCATTACAGAGACCGATTGAATATTGAAGGAGAAAAAATCGGGGGTTAATGAGACTTGGTGCCCTAATCGAATTTAAGGACCAAACGAGACTTCACTCTTACCTTTAATGAGGATGGGAGGCAAAATTGGGGCCTACATGCCATCTCATTGGCCACCTAGGAAAAAAAAGCCACATCAGACCCATGCAATCGTTGAAACCGGCTATAATCAGTCATAGGGTGAAATTTACACGAATGAACAAGTTAAATGGCTATTAGAGCAAAAAAAAAAAGTTTAGTGACCAAATGTGACAAAATGGAATAGTATGTTACCCTCTTAAGTCATTATCCTTATCAAGAATAGAGTACAAAAAAGACTACATAAATAAAAGTAGCAATTTTGAGGTAAAATGTTGTTCTCTAGGATTTCCTTCAAAGACAAGATAAGTCCATTTTGCATGTCCTTATCTTTTATGTTGTTCAAGTTGTGTTGAAAATTTAACGTGGAACTTTGTGGAATTATGTGAAAGTATTGTGCTAATGAGATTAAGAGCATCTCCAACTCACTCTTATTTTCTATTATTTTCTCCGTTTATTCTCCAATTTCTCTCCAACCTTACCCATTTATTTCTCCATTTTGGTGGGAAATGAATAGTATAACACCAAATATGGTGTTATACTATTCATATTCCCCAAAATTGAGATAAACTTTGAGTTGTCGATTTTAGTCCATCTTTTTATATATTTATATATTTCTGGTTTTTTGTAATATTTAATACTTATAATATTGTGTTATATATCAAATTATATTAATTAATTATAAATATAAACTTTGTTTTTGTTTATCAAATTCATATTAAAATTTAAATACATATTGAAATTTTAAAACAAGATAACGTATTTTACAAAAACTTATAATTAAGTGTTATAAATATAATCTTATTTATTTAATATTATTGTAATGAAAAAAATATATAGATTATATATTTGTTAAAACCAAATTAATAAAGGGGTGTGTTTGATAATTTATATAAGTTAGAAGAATAGAATATATATATATATATATATATATATATATATATATATATATATATATATATATATATATATATATATATATATATATATATATATGCTGGGGGAGGGGAGGGGGTAAAAATAGAGTAGGGTTAGACAATAAAAAAACATTTTCCATTAACATTGTTGAGCTACATATTTGTGCAACTCAAATCTGAATGACAAGAGTACAAAACTCACAACCTAGCTTTTGTTTTTTTTTTCTTTCAAAAATTACACATGTTGGCAGGGCCGATCCAAAGATATAATAGGCCCAATACGATGAGCTTCCAAAATCATAAATATAATTAAAATTAAATCGAAACTAAACATACTATTATAAAATTCATTATTAATATTAAAAGTACAGATATGGTCAAAACATTACAAAAAACAACTAATTTATAGAAAAATATTTCTCTTAACATTTTTAGATAAGTTAGTTTTTTTATTTATTTTTTATATAACTATACTATATACTATAGAAATTTTGGGTATTTTAGAGACATGAACCATGACGACGAGTAACCCACTATCAGAACCAGGCGTGCATGTTGGAGGCTTTGGATGACACCACACCATGTATAGACATAAAAAAGCATTTAGTTGATGCACCACGCCTACATAACACCAAATGTTGGAGGCATAAAAAAGCATGTATAGACATAAAAAAGCATTTAGTTGATGCACCATGTATAGACATAAAAAAGCATTTAGTTGATGCACCACGCCTATATAACACCAAAGGTTGGAGGCATTGAATTTTTTAGCCTAAAATGAATTATTTACATAAATCTACAAACTATATGTTGAAATTGGAAGCTAACGCCCTTCGAATGTTGAAATTGTCACATCATTGATTTTATTTGTAACACTATGTACATTTAAAAAGTCAAAACGTTTGGGGTAAAAATATGAAAAGAATAAACTCTAAGGGTTAAATGTGTACAAATAAAAACTTGTGCAAAAATGAAATCAGTTTTATAAAGTGATTGCCTATTTGAAAATGAAGTTTTTATCATAAAATTTGCATAATAATTCCCCACAAATTGATTTTCACATTTTCCAAAAATTTATAGTAAAGAGAAAAGAGGTCAAAAAGATAACTACAAACATTTCTATGGTTCGCATGAACATTTGTGATGGATATGCACTTTTTTTTGTTCACGTAAGTGATACGAGTTTGGTCAAATTGAAAGTCATATTCCTTTTTATCAAGACTAAGGGAATAAAGAAGCAACATAGATAGAGTATGCATGCAAAATTGAAATAATTTTTATGAATCATTACCTTATTTTGAAAATGAAGTTTGTTTATAATAAAATCGGTTTATGACTTATGAGATAAAAAAAATGCATGTGCATGGTCGTGCTCTCGGAATTTCTGCAAAGTATCGATTTTGAATGTGCATGTCTTTAAGTTGTAGATTCAATTTCGTGTTGAAAATATGATATGAAATTATGCAAACATATATTGTTAATGTACTATAAACGGATGTTTTGTGCATAGTGTCACATTTAAAAGCTATACATTCAAGAGACAAGAATTTTATGTTCATCACGTAACATTTATTGGAAACAACATTGTAAAAATGGTTTTGTGGTTGTTAAAATTATGTGATTTTGATCCAAAAAAATTTGGTCCATTAATGGTCCAATTTTGGATACAATGTGCAGTTTTGGTCCATATAGTTGACATTTTTATGTGTTTGTGGTCCAGATCACACATAAAACGATGAATATGCCATTTGATAATTCTTTTTTATTTATTTTTAAAATTTTATTACTATTCTCATTATAAAATAACACCGTCCTCTCTCTCTCTCTCTCTCTCTCTCTCTCTCTCTCTCTTCTGAAATGAACTATTTCTTACTTGGATTATTTAAATAAACGACATTATCAAATTAAAGAACAAACACATAAAATCATGAACAAACCTAAAAAATAAGATGCTTTCTTAAATTTAAAAACATTCTCCTCAAATGTGAACATACTGAAAAAGAAAAGAACAAAACCAAAAGATTCATTTTCCTCAGGAGCTCCCCTCTGATTCAGATACAAATTGGTGGTGGCATGAAACATATATTTGATCTGAAACGCGAAACATGAGGCAAAAAACGATGGGGTGGGTGTTGTCTTGTCGACCATCCATCCATTTTGTGTCCCTCCACCATGTGATGCAAATCCTTTACAATGTCAAGGTCGCTACAGTTGCTCCTTCTCCTCCTCCTCCTCATTATGCAGATCTGTTAAATGTCAGCGGAAGTGGAGAACGAAGATGTTCGATGGTAACTACGGATTGCCAGTGACGGTGTGTGGGGAATCACAAAGAGCATAGCTAAAGGTGGAACAACATCGAATATGAATTATTTGTTTTTCAGATCATTTTTAAACAAATAAAAAAAAATAGAAATCGATTCTGGAATCGATTTCTCTATATGAGTTCATCCCGAAAAATTCACCATCATTGGACCACCCGTTTTCCTCTTGGAACACCACCATTCTCATCGCGGAAACTAGAAAACACCACAACGAGCACCATCCTTCATTGGTGGTTCCAATCTAACATTTTTTAGGGCTAGGGTTCAGTGTCAGAACAGAAGACACAGTAAGAAGTTTCCTACCGAGGTTTTTTTGAATGCAATATAGAAGGCGGTGGTTTATGGATCTGGTTCAGTTGTGAAGTAAGAGTAAATGGAGAATAGTGGCGGTAAGTGGGTCTAAGAAACTAGGGTGGGATCGCCAGAGAATCATTTTCACTTTTCTAGATCACCCAAGGCTTCTTTCTGCGGTTTTGATGGTCTTTGCATCAGTCAATTCAGAATTATTATAAGTGTTACAATTCATGAAAATTTTAAACTTTTAAAACAACCCAAAAATAATCGTTATTTACAAATTGTTTTCAAAACAGGTTTAATATCAGAGTAATAACAACATCATGAAACAAAACATGAGGAGGTGCACGATCATGTATTCGCATTTCCGCGATCCACTGAGGTACCTGAAACATAATCGAAAACTTTAAGCCTAAAGCTTAGTGAGTTTTCCCGAAAATACTCATACACAACAAATAACACAAATATAATAACAACATGCAATGGGTCCACAACTAATAGAATGGATTGCCCTCGAGACCACAATATAAGTCTGGATTGCCCCCTGGGCCCATAGCTTATGTTTGGCTTGCTCCCCGGCTTCATCAACCTTTGGACGGAATACCACTAAGCCCTTAGTACAAGTCTGACATGCCCTTCTAGACCCTCAGCTCGTATCTGAACTGCTCATGAGCCATCAGTATGAGTACGGCATGCCCTCATCGGCCCTCAACTCATAACTAGCTTGCTCCAGGGTTTGTTGGCTACAACACGGAGCAGTACAACCTCAACCTAACCCACATAATATGTCAACATATAACAGATAATATCATATATAGATAAATAGACAATATCATAGGTAGTCCTACAGATCTACCATACTAGCATATCAAAACTAGCATGCATATCTATCCCATACTCAACATATCAACAATATCGGATTATTAAACTAATGGGCCGACCTTGGTGCCTTCGACCCGAAAGTATAGTCTTGAACCCAAAAGTCGGTGCTTTATATACATGCATGTCCAATGCATGTCTTGAACCCAAAATAGGTCAAAATGGAGATTTATGACCTACTCTCCATGCATTGAATCAAAACTCGACTATAGGCCAGATCCAAGACTCTATAAGGTCACTTAAACATGAAGATTCATAAAGTTGCTAACTTTATGAGATCTAACCATTCCCTCACTCAAGAACAACAAGAAAAAGGTCCAAAAATCAAGATCTAGCAACATAGATGAATAAAAATTGGATCTTGGACACTTACAAAGGTCCAAAAGAGTGCCAAACTGAAAGGCGAGGGCTTGCTTGCTGGATTCTTACTTTCTTCTTCCAGCTTCTTTCTTCTTTGGCACCAAAAACACCATACT